TCAAAGGAGCCTTTAGAGGAGCAGGAAGAGAATGAAGAGAGGCTCAAACCAGTGAAAAGATCTGGTCATGGGAAGAGCACCATCAGTGATGCCAACAGCTGCTGAGGAAGAGCTAGACCTAAGAGCTGGATGAGAAGAGGGCATTAAAGAAGGGGGGAATACGGGCTGCAGAAGGTTTGAGTTGGGACTGGAGGGAAGGGTCTCCCAACAGCAATGGTAACAGCAACAGTTAGAGATTGGGTTTAGGATAAGAGGGGAAGACAGGAGTCAGGCAGGATCTAGAGAGTGGTGCTAGGAATGAGCAGTTGAGTATTTTTCTGTGAAGTCTATAGAAAAATGAAGTTATTTTTTCAATAGCTATTCAGAGTCCAAAAAGTATGATAGTACCGTTCTTTGTTCTCTTGCTTTTGTAACTGTGTCATCTAAAAATTTGGCTTCTGTTTTGTGGTTGTTTAGAGTCTGCCCTTTGTGAGATATTTTGCACAATGTAGCCTTCAAAATCTTCCTCCTGTTTATTACTACTCCTGCCCCTTTTTTTTTCCTTCCAAATGTCATCTATTTCATTTGAGAATTGAACCCTAGGGTGTTTCAATTATATATAAATGTGGAGTATTTGGGATGAACTAGTCACAAGTGCTTTCAATTTGCCATCTGAGCTTTGAATATGAGCAGAATTGCCAATGTTTTAGTTTCTAGGGCGTTCTTAAATGTGCAGTCAAGATGCAGCTTTTGTTCCTAAGTGCTCGGGTTTTTGCCGTTTCTAGCAAGACCTTATGAACCTTCCTCATGAATTTTCCATAGAGTAAATTGCAAGCACAGAGCAAGGAAATTCCTGTTGTCTTGTAGGACAGATGTCTACTCTGAGACCAATCTTCCTCTGATAGCACTCTCTCTAGCAATCTGCCTCTGTAGCTGAATGTACTGTTTGAGTTTCTGAATGACAGGTGATTGACTTGCATCTTATCTGTCAACATGTGAAATCTCCTGCTCAGAAATGTGATGTCTTTTCTGATTGCTTCCGTGTAGGCAAATGGTCTTTCCAGAACAGTTTGCACTGGTTTTCTTGTTTTGGAAGAGCTCAGCACAGTCTTCACCCATACCCTGTCACTCTGGCATTTGGGTATATTGACAAATACTTCTGTGTTTGTGATGGGAGGAGGCAGAAGCAGTTGTAGGTGAAAGGAAAGGTGAGCCAGAGACTGTGAAGGTCTTTTCTTACTGTCAGGCTTTTCAGGGGCAGAAACCGTTAGGGTGCTGCATGGAGACTGAAGGCGGAAGAGAGGAGGGTTTGAGAGATGAGTTAAACTGTGTGAGAAGAGAGAGCTGGTATTGTGCTTGCGGGATTAAAACATGTTGGGTTGAAAGTATCTGGTGCAGTAGGGCTGCAGTAGATAGAAAGATGGCAGAATTGAATGTGTAGCTGTTCTGATAAGAAAAGAAGAATGGAGGGATGATTAGAGAAAGCTTCTTCTCCATCTCAACATTGCCGAATAAAAACCTTCAGCCTGTAGTTGTCTCCTAAGACAAATAATGTTACATCTATAGAAGTTATTCCATTTAGTGCTGTAGATCAAATGGATCAGTAGCCACTAGAGAAAGATACACAGTAAAAGTGATCTCTGCAGATATTCAAGAAGCATTGCTTTGCCTGTCACCCACAGAAGCAGAGGATGTTGCTGCCAACATCTCCATCTGTTGTCCAGCAGCAGTTGTCGAGCCTGTCCTGGCAATGTTTTGCTGTGGGAGCACACGGAAAGGGCACAAAGCTCTAATGCTGTCACAGGGCAAGCCAGAAGCTCTAGTGAATGGTTTAACAAACATTTTAGGGGAGCAGCTCCTGACTGTGCCTGTGAAGGTCTTGCAGCTAATTTCTAGCAACTTGGCTTTTTCTGCAGACTGCTAACTGTTAAATACCACTTCTACTGCATTACAGAATGGGAGGGAAATGCTGTGGGCTTCAGTAGGCAGGATCTTGATAATCTGAGGTAGAATGAAATTAGCTGGATGAGAGGACAGGGAGAGGGAAAATAAAGGCCATATGGGATCCTAGGCACTTGCAAGGATATTTGAAGCTGTGCCTTTGCCAGTTGTCTGTACCCAACCACTGTTTCACAGCAGCCTTAATGCCTTCCAACATTATGCTGCTGTCACCCATCTTCCCAAAAGAAGTGAACATGATAAAGCTTTGCATGATGCTTCTCCAAAACATGAAAAATTGTGCCAAGAACAAAGGCTGTGCCTGCATAGGCAGGAAAATGCCCAAGGAGAGAAAAAGGGGATATATTTAACATTGGAGGAGGAGGGAAAGTTCGTTAGTGGGTATGGATGTTTTGATAAAGGGCACTGGGGAGGTGAACATAACAAGGAGGGATGAGAATCACAAGGTGGCCATTACAAGGACCTTCGAGACAGAGGGGAGTGCAGAGGCAGGGTGCCAGCTGCACAGGGGACTGCTAACAAAACCTGTGGATTATATAGCATCCCAGTAGGAAAATAGTGATATCTCAGTAGACAGTTACATGGTGGGGATATACTTTAAAGTAGCTGCTTGTGGACCCAAACCAACCCACGGTGAGGGATCAATTGGCTGACCAGCAGACTGTCTCATCCCTTGGGGAATACTCCATGGGGAACACAAAGTGAGTGTGGAGCTGTAGAGACTCTTGGTTGGCTAAGACTTACTGCAGTAGGGGAGGGAAGGTGTAAGACACTTTCCTAGACTTAGAGATTCCTGCTTTGTTTTCAGCTCAGCCACTAATCCAAGGTTAAAACTAATCTGTCTGCATCTTTATCTCCACCGCCTTGTCTGTAGATTTTAAGGGCTTGATGTGTGGTCTCTGTGCTGACATACTAGTAACCTAATCTTAATTTGAATGCCTATAATCACAAAATACCTTTGCTGTAAATTTGGAGCAATCTACCCTTTGTATGCATTCCACTGTTGAGCTGCTCTCTTGAGCCCTAATTAGTAACCTAAATGACTTACCGTAATTAGCTGCTACTCAGCCTTAGCACTGGGGAAAGCACAAATCTGACAGCTTTCAAAAGTGAGTGAAGCATGGTCAGGGAGTCTACCAACATTGCTGCCTTTGTCTTCATCTGGAAACTGTTTCTATCAAAAAAGATTTTTAAAGATAAATAATGTATATTTAAGACTTCTTTTTTATATGTGCTGTACTTTTTGGAATTATCGTGTATTTGTCCTTGCATCAACTTTGTTCTTTAGCACGTCAGTTACTTCAAAATACAAATTATGTTTCATTTCTTGGAGATCTCATACATAACACACTCCTCTGGGATCTGTTCCATGATGCATGAATTGCTAGGGAATATCACATTAATATGTCTGGAATACCAGTGCTGGGAGATACACCGTATAAAATAGAGAGAAGTTGTTTAATTGTATTTTATTCCCCTCTAAGATCATTGAGATGTAAATTACTGGGAGCACTACTGCAAACATGTAAGCATTTTTGTTCTCTGAGCATTGTAATGAACTTTCTTTTATGAGGTGTGTTGGTAAGAGAAACAGATGTATATACAGGAAAGCAATGCTGCCTGCTCTGAATGGGTGAGTTTAACAAAAGCTTGTTGTGGATACATCACTCTGACAAACAAGGCAAAATTCCTTTTCCCTGACCCTGAATACTGAGCAAGTTTCAGCTTTTTCTCTGAGTAGAATTTTCTGGAATTTCTAAAAGATTTGAGTATTTCAGAGCCAAAGTCACAAAGGCAGGCCTGAGCAAATTTTTGAGAAAATTTGCACTTATGTATGTTTTTAAATCTTTGCAAGTTCTGTGGTGTTACAGTACTGTTAGAGTGACTGAGCACAGTGTCTGCTGCTTCCCGTTTCTCTTTCCAGCACGTTATTTCTGCTGCCTTGTAGAACAAGATGAAGGTCAGATGCCTAGTTGATTTTAATATGTGTTCAACTTTAGTAAAAGTTATGCTTGTAAAATACTATCGGTAAAATACCAAAAATCAGTAAGAATCAAAGTCTTGTGCACAAAGGAAGGGTTATGTGCTTTCTCCCTGTGCATGACAATGCAGAAGACATCTCTTCTAGAGGGATCACTTGTAGGAATGAAGGCATAGCTTTACTTCAGTGCTCTTTCAGTTGGTGGGTGTACTAACTGTACTGTGTTCAGTTAGTTATAGTCACATTACTAAGGGATAATGTTCCTACACTCTAACACAAACGTGTACGTCCACCTGAAAATGATGGTGACGGCTCTCTTGAAACACATAGCAATGTGGACTGCACTGTGGCTGGATACACACTGAGGCTACTGCAGCCTGCTACAAATAAGCTCGGCATTTCCCAATTAACAGCAGCATATTGCGCGGCACCCTGCTTCCTGGGTCAGTCTGGTTTGGTGGGTTGTCTCCAAATCATGATCTAAGTAAAGGATCTGAGCATTAGAGCTGTGCCTGGAGAGTGTGATGAGGATGTTCTGGCTGGTTGGGTACGTGCATTGCTGGCTTCTCTCATCTACGGGTGTGCACACGCACTTGTGTCGCAGCCTAATGGTTGCAGCCAACAGAAATAGAACTGAACATTACTGCAGTGAAGCTAATGGGCTGCTTCCTTCTGGTCATCTTGTAGTGGCCTTTCTTGAAACTGAAGTTCCCATGCTCTCCTTTTGCTGGCAGCATTAAAGCCTATGCAGATTCAGTACAACACGTAATCTCAGTTAGGACTTGAGTCTGTTCCTGCCACTCAATCTTCAAACTGCACAACAGTGACAAGAACCTCAGGAAGCCCTTAAGCTGATGCGAAGGGCACTGTATTTATCAGTAGCTGTGCCAGCTAACCTGAGGTGCTTTTAAAGCAACAGCCCCTTGAAAGGGGCTTTAAGTATTAGCAGTTTATAAAAAGTATCTGCTGGCTCGATTCTCAGCTTATCTCCAGTTGAGTTGAGCAGGTATATAAGCAATCACATCTGCTTCCCCTGGATTCATGATAACCTTCTGACTTTTCTCCTCATTTCTTGTTTAAGATTTATGTCCATCTCAAAGAAGGGAGCGGTGCTGATGGGCTGGATGCTTTGAAGAACAAACCGCAGCTCCACAGTATGGTGGCCAAAAGCCTTTGTCAGAATGCCTCTGGGAAGAACTACATCATCTTCACTGGCCCAAGCATTACCAGCCTGAATCTCTTTGAAGAATTTGAGAAGCAAGGTGTGTATCGGGTGACTCACTGGGTTTTAATGATGGCAGACCTTGGAGCCCTTCTGCCACTGAATTCAAAAAACTCCCAAAAGGCTTCACTGAGATTTCAACTCTTTGGTCATCTCTAAGAGAAGATCTCATTGATGAAAAGGTACTATGCAGAGGACTTTCTAAGTTGCTCTTTAAATTTTCCTCTTTAAATCTTTTTAAAGTTCAAAACAAGGATGTAAAATCATTTTTAATAAGGATACTTAAAGCCCTTGCGTTTGTTCTTTGCCTTAGAAATATCTAATCTCCTAAAGGGCCTGAGGGACTTTTCAAGGGATTTCCTAGCTGCCTGCGATTTTTCTGTTTCTGTTGTGAAAGACTGGGGATGGGATGAATCCTTCAAGGTATGCCTTAGAAGTCCTTGCTGGTTTAAAGATGTGACTTCTCTAGGTGACTTTTATGCTATTGCAAAAGCCCTAACATGATTGGCTTTTTTGCTGGTATAAACATACCTTGGTAGGACAGTTTTTAGTTCTGAAAGCAAAATAAACTCTACATTGGCAAAAGCACACTTGCCAGCAGAATGTCCATCAACATGGCAGTGTGGCTTTCCCAGCCAGTTTCTTGCTAGTGTAGAGGATCCCAGGACATCTTTCCTGTCAAATGCCCCCTCACCTTGAGTATGGAAAAGCCACATGTTGCTTTACTTTCAGAAATGCTGAGGACTTGTGACTCCCCTTAAACTACAGGCTCCTGCACTCTTGACAGTCATTTATAAATCGTCTCAGTGTAACTCTCGGCTTGTTCTTCAGTCAGCATGTCCTTTCAGAGTTGGTATGGTACGTACAATAGATCCTTCACAACAGTAAGACTGGAGGCTGTGTTACGAATCATGTAGGAGGAGGTTGCAGGGCCATTTCCCTTTTCAGCACAGCACTGATGATAGAGTCTTGCTTTTGGCATGTTTTCCATTGCAAAAAATTAAACCCACCTGAGGCATTATATTAATGAAACGTGGCCCAAAGCAGGGGGAAAGACTGGGAATTGAGACAATATCTTGATTCTCATTTGAAATGAGAACACCAGTGAGCTGCACCAGTGCTGTAGCTCTGCACTTCAGACTGCGCGGGCACTGCGGGCTCTCTCTGTTGAGCACCATGCAGGACCTGGCTCCTGCGTTATTTGAGGTAAGCTGAAAGCTCACAGGGTACAGTCGAATACTGCCATATTCTCACAAAAGACTCATGGTTTCCCAAATGCTGCAAACAGCCAAATGGGAAAGAAGTCAAGCATATTTATAGTGCACTGGAGCATTTCCTCTGAGCGGAGACTGTTCTTTAGTAAATGACTGTTTTCACAGCTGACTGTAAGTGTTATATTTTTAAGACTACTAAAGCAATGATGCAAAATGTGGGTCCAAAAAATTTAGAGGATAACCCACATACTCCCAGTACCTGAGATGTGTCAGGTTTAAATGTAAAGACTGACAGACGGAAACTTGACTGCTGAGTCACACCCTTTATGTTCAGCTAGGGAAGGATAAAGACAATATGGCATGAGCCAGTTGGCCCATAACCTCAGTGAAAGAGATGCATGGCTACTAACTCAGCTGAGTGTTTATTACTTACAGGTAAATCGAATTGTTCGCAGGAGTGAATTATTCCTGAGCTTTACTTTGAACAGATCATTCAAATTAACAGCTTCTAGCAGGTGGCAATTCAGTAATGTCTTTTTAAAGCATGTAATTTTGACTTACCACCTGATCAAATATGCTAATGCTATACTGAGATTTCAGTTTGGTACATGATTTGTTATATGGCTTCGTGAGACTTTTTATGATATTTGACAGCTGCTTCCAAAATTAAATTACAGATCTGGTACACACTATCACCTTCCTAGGGGTGGAGCTATGGGGTGGGTGGGTGACGGACACTAAGATAGCACGTTTATTATCTTTGCAAAATAGCGTGGTACTCCTATACAAAGAAGATCATGGGGAGAACGTGAAAGTGTTTCTGTTTCATAAGACCATGAGGTTGTCTGAGTTTGCCATGAGTTACTAGGGGATAGCTCAGAGTTTTTGCAAGGGGATGTTGAACTGGAACGACTATGAGACAGTGGGAGAGTTGAGATGCTAGAGATGTCAAGCAGTGCTGAGGTCAGTAAGAGCACTGGAGGACATGGTGTTTACTGAATCTGCTGCAAAGCAGCTCAGGTATTGCCAGCACCTGCTGGGATCCTACTGCATTGGCAGTATGTTTGGGGAGAGGCAGGCAGGAAAGCCTGGACTCAGCAGAGAAATCTCTCCTTGTGTATCACACAGTCACTCTCAGCAAGGATCTTAATGGTTTTTTTTCTGATATGTGGCTTAGCCAACTAAATCTGAATATGGCCACACCATGACTGAGAAGTGTCATGAGAGCCTGTTGAAAAGCATCTATGCTCAGGTGCTCATGACAGTTCAAGACCCATCTTAAACTGAAAAATTTACTTTTCTTGTTCAAGAAAATTTAGTTTCTGGGCTAGACCAGGATCAGCGGTAAAAAGATCCCATTGAGAACTGAAAGCAAATAGAAATTGGTATTAATTTTAACTGCTTTATGTTGTTTGGGTTTGATTTTGGGTTTTTTTTGTTACTATCAACGGAGAAATAGGGTGAGATTTAAATAAACTAATGCTCAGAAACTAAACTTTTGGGGAACTTAAACTGACATTTAGGGGAACTAAAGGGAATTTGGGAAAATCTAGGAGGCACTCACTGAAAATGTATTAATTCCCCTCAAAATTCTTGATGAAAATGACTTGGGGTCTCGGTAGCCAGCGAGTTGAACATGAGTCAGCAGCATACCCTGACAGCAAAGATGATCAACACTATCCTGGGCTGTGTTAGCAGGAGCGTAGCCTGTAGATTGAGAGGTGACTATTGCCTCTTACTTAGCACAGTTTTGGACAGCATGCTCCCCAAAACAGGAAAAGCATTGGAGTAAGTTCAGAAGAGGGCCAGCAACCTGACCAGGGGCTGGACCACATGCTCCACTATGGGGATGGAACTGCGCTTGTTCAGCCTGAGAAGAGAAGGCTTCGGGGGACCCCACAGCAGCCTTGTACTACTCTGAGGAGATTATCGAGAGAATAGAGCTGGCTCTTCACAGTGGTCCATCGTGGAAGGATGAAAAGCAACAGACATAAGCTGAAACAAAAGAAGAATTTCAGACTAGATGTAAGGCTTTTCCTGAGGACAGTGGAGCAGGATGCCCAGACAGGTTGTGCAGTCTCTGTCCTTGGAGGTTTTCAAACTCAGACAAGAAAAAGCCCTGAGCAGTGCTGTCTGACCTCAGAGCTGACCCTACTCTAAGCAGGGCATGGGACTAAAGACCTCCCGAGTTGCCTTCCAACCTAAATTATTTTTCATTCCCTGGGGTCCGTGAAGACTTTTGTGGAACCTTAACTGTCGTTTGCTTTTCCTAACCCTCACCCACACATGTGTTGCTGCAAAAACCTCAGTGTTCTTTATTGGAAGCCTGCTGAGTAGCACCTTCAATGTACCACAGTAGAGAATATGTGCCTAGTAATATAAAGGGATATTGGTGAAATAATTCTAAGATCTTTGAAGATACCAAGAGCTGAGAAGACTTCAGAAAATAAGACAGGGTGCTTTGATCTTTTTCAAAATCGAAAACCTGAATAGACCTCTTTTTTATTTTTCAGGGGACATACAAAGCATTTCTTTCTCTGTCCTCTGAATAGAGCTGGAAACCTGCACTGAAATGTTCCAAATTCTCTATTCTGCAAATGGAGAGCTGTCACTGTTATTTGCTCTAACATTCACTCATAGTGCACATCCCTTTTTCCCACCTCTATGCATTAGTGTTGTCCCTTACAAAGGACAGCACCTCCTGAAGCCCTGTGCCTCACACTTCCCTTAAACATATGATCCCCAAAACTCCCTTTTGCACTTTCTGAAGCAGGAGGAGCAGCTGGCTCTGTCCCACAAAGTGGCTGGGGTTGGCAAAGCTGCAGGAGTCGCCAGCCTGGGTGACCATGGCACTCCCAAAAGCTTTGCAGGATCCTGCAGCTCCAGCACATGGATTAGAGCAAGCTCTTGTCTCCTCCACGACAGGCCTCTCAGTTGTCCTAGCTCTGACTTGACCCAGCATTGCAGGCAGGATAAATGATTTCAGACTGTGTATTTTTGCCTGAAGTAGCTCAAGCCTGATTGAGTTTGCAAATGGTACTACGGAAGATGTGGTGAAACAGGCGTCAACACAAACTGTTGAAGGAGAGCCTGGGAATGAATCTTGGATGACTACACCACATTTCTTCATCTTTGCTAAGCGAGCTTAGGTGTAGGCATTGATATTACAGTTTAAGTTGACCAGAGGAGGACAACCTGTCTCTATTGACTCTTGTGTATGTGGCGAACACCTGTTGTGATTCTGATTTAATTATACACGAAAAACTTCATTGAGCCAGATGGGCATAATTTTTATTGCTTCTATTACTATAGTAACTGGGTGGTTTTAAAAAAACTCTACAGATGAAGGGTGTCATCCATGATGAGAGATACTAGTAAATCTGCAGAATTGCTGCACTTTTCTAGGCTGTACAACAGGAAGGTTACACAGTGTGTTCTTGAGAAAGGAAATGGCTCCCATTATTTTGTATAAGTAGTGAAACATCTGCTAGAAGCTTTCTGCAGGCTTATTGCCTGAGCCAAAGGAAAGGCTGCAATTAATTATTATGGGATCTCAGAGATGGCTTTTGCTATTTTGAAGCTCTAGCACAATAATGTAGTTATTAGCTTGGTTTTATACCATTGCAGTCTCATGGAGAGAACGAGTATCACCCTTCAGTGAGTCATAAACTTTAGGTGGCTAAGGAAATTCTTCTCAGGCCTGCTTGTTATCAGAGCAGGATGATCATAATATTGGCTAGAGGAAAGCTTTCTAAAAGTTTGCTATGTTAGTGCCAAAGTTTAGAGGTATATGATCTACACTGTGTACTTCTTAGCAAGATAAGAAATTAAAAAAAAAAAAAAAGCCTTCCACTGGAAGTGCAGTTCCTCCTATATTGGTTGTAAGCCTGTTTCCATCAGGCTACTCTTGTTGTCTTTTGAACTTATAGATTTCCAGGGACTGATTCATTCATTAGAAATAACCAATGCAGTGCACATTTCCTCCTTCAGAAAGAAGTTGCCCCATATGCATTGCGTTGGTTGACCTTCTTCTGGCATGAATGTCTTAAATTTCTGATGGAAGACCCTTTGGGTCTTGTAGACCTGCCCACAGCAACTGTACCAATTCATGAGTATTAGCAATTAGTGTATTAGTATTCCTGTGGTATCTATGAGCTGTTGAGGGGATGCTCAGCTTGCCAGGGACTATATGAGTCAGGGACAAAGGCTGTACCTGCATGGAAGAGCTTAGGTCATTCCAGAAAGACAGAGGCAGAGGAGCCACATAAAGGGAAACCCAAGAACAGAGGTAGTGTGCTCAGGGGAAGCCAGACACTGTAGTCTGACTTACTTAGCATTTCCCTTGTAAGGATATCCAGTTATCCAACGTGCAAAATTCAGCACGATGAAAAATTTGATCAGGCAGACTTAGCTGACAGATGAGCTTTAAACTACCACAAGCCTCAGCTGCCATATGAAAGATCTGCACAGATGTCACCTGCTTCCATGCCCATCGTTTTTTTTCCACTCAGGTTGATGCAAATCCAAGGGAGACCAAGGAAATTTCCATCCCAGATTTCCTTGAGTTCAATTAAATTGATGAAGAAGATCTGCTTCTCTTAGACTAATGGAAACAGGCCATTATTATTTCACAGCCTAATGACAAATTAAAGCATTGTCATTATTAATATTGTTTGCAAATTTTGTTTATGCCCACCTGGCTGCATTGAGACCTGTTTTGTGGTGTTTATTTGTTGCCTCTTTCAAATATGAAAAGGCCAAGAAGCTGTGAGCAGCAGAACGTGTCGCCTATGGAGCCTCTGATGTCTGTGCAGGACAAGATCAGTGCTCGCTCAACTAGGGCACTATTTGGTTTATCTCCTTTCCCTAAAAGCCATTTCTTTAAACTTGTATTTCCATTTTCTCTGTCCACCTGGCACATGCATTTTTTTTTTTTTAAATCAACCAGTGGTTTCCGTGGTTCTTAACTGCTTAAGCAGCATTTCCTGAACAAACCAGATGATGCAGGTTCAAGGAGTAGTGAGCTAAAAATCAAGAACTGGGCAGCACAGTGAAGCAGTAGATTAAACCAGCATTTGTCAGCTATTGTGATTAAAAGCATCATGGTGGTCATGTAGGAGAATTTATTTCAGTTAACATCTAAGATGCTGTAGCTTTCCTTACCTCTCTGTTCCCTCCATGATTTATTCTCTTAGTTAAACACCAAAGACACTCTTGGATCGTAAATTCTGATTTGTTCCATAATGCATATCACTACTTTTTTTTTTCCCCCAGTCCAATTTTAAACATGTTGTGAAGACTATTACACAGATTATAGATGTTATTGTTGGGAAGATAACATTAATTCTTCTCCTTGTCATTTCATCACGACTGTGCAGGAAGTGTCAATACATTTCATCAAGAGAGCAGGCTTTCTGTGCTTGTCTCTGTTTCCAGAGACGTTCATGTAGGACACAAATCTTTGGTATTACAAGAGAAGGCCAGTTGGCTAACAGATCTGTTGGGCTAGAAAGTTGTAGGACAAGCTCTTTCTCTAGTCAAGTCATTTCAGACTTGCTCCACTGCTCTTGCTTTCAGGGTCCATGCAACGCCTTGCTGATAGGGAATGTTTTTGTTCACATGCAGAGATTTACTGCTGTGGGTTGCTGAGCGCCAGGAAGAGTGACTGCACAGGCCTACCTCCATCCATGCTGAACAACCCTGAAACTCCCCAGTCCAGAGGACAGTACAGGATAAGAATGAAGGGAAACATGTCCTTGATCTGCTGGTACAATAAAGGGCACTTTCGTTTTCTGACCAACGCCTATTCACCGGTTCAACAAGGTAAGCAATATTCCTACTGCTCATCTGGAAAGTCTGCATGCTTTATGTGACAAGACGAGTCACTGAGTTTGATAATAAGCCTGAACAAAAAGAGCTTGATCATAATATCCTAGATGAACAGTAGCAGTAGTGATGACTTCCCTTTTGTGTTTTCCTACAGCTATTCTTTTTTCCCATACAAAGGTTAAGAGCCTACTGCTAATGCAGCCTCCTTTGCCTGAGCTGGTAGAGGCATTATCCTGTTAGGTGTAAAGATTGTATCTTTGCTGATGGTCAGAGAAGGGAAGAGGGTTGTTGTATAACACTGTACTAGCCCCGTTTGCAAAGTATCTTGTAGGATTGCTGCTACCAAAAAATTAATAAGCATCATGATGTACTTAGAACTCTGAGCAGATCCTACAATTAATTTATCATATCCAGTAAAACCTTAGTCACAAACAAATGTCTTTTTGCCAGAAGTAAATATGATTAAGGCTTCCTGTTGTATATTAAATTGATTTTAGCAGTTGATGAAAAGAAACAAAACCAGATAACCTGGATAGTTCAAATAACTGCAAAGAGCTTCTTGATCCTGAATTCTTTTCCTTTTTGTAAGTACATAGGTGTTTTTAGGAAGATTTGGAAACTTCTGTAAGATGCAGTAAGATTAGCTAACTCTTTGAAACTCATCTTTCAGTGAAAACGTTGCTTCAGTTTCTCTTCATTTTTATTATTCAGAATTATGTATAACTACATGAGACAAACAAGAATAACCTAAACCTTTAAATGTAAAGACACCAATTCAAAGATATCTTTTACACCCGTGTTCTGAGTCCTGAGTGACTCTGACGTATGTGTGTCCAGGCTACAGAAGCGAAGTTAAGGCCTTGATTGACTGTACGATAAGCTGAGAAGTTAACTTAGTGTGTCGCGCAGTGCCTTGTCAGAAGCAAAGCATGGCTGATTCCCGAGGAGCTCTGCCAGGCGCCGTAGCAAACCAAGGACTTGGTGACTTGGACAGACCAGTGTCTGAGCGCCAACGCTGAAAATATGTGTGTGAAGGAAATACTAGTAGAAAAATCATCTGTTTGTAATTGTCAGTGTTAACTGCCCCTTTAAAAGAGAGGCCAAAAGCAGACTGTGTTGGCAGCGTCCTTTACAAGCAGCACGTGGAGGTGTGAGCTGTTGTGCTTGTGATTGACCTTGGGTCTGGTTTGGCATAGGCAGGATTGTAGGTTGTATATATGTGAGGTAGTTTAAGGTCCACTGATTAGGACCTGTGTGTGGTGGTAGGCAAGATATGCCCAATACATTGCTCACCAAATGCTTTCTGGGACAGTTGACTTAGTTCACGGTGAATCAGAGCAGAAAACAAAGACTGGCTTTTTAGAGTGGTGCTGTGAGTCTGTACTAGAGAGCTGGGAACAGATGGAGACTCGGTAGGAAGACAGGAGACCAGATTGCCTGCCTCTAATTTGGCATCTCTGAAGTCAGTGCAGCAACGCTTGTTTAAACCAACTTGAAGCTTGACCACCAAAGTCTCCTTTAAGGAATGTAAGTACAGAGGAGGAGGAAGAGGAGGAATCTGTGTTCCTTGAGGCAAGCCTGTAGCACAGACCTGCTGAGCATAAGTGTTAGACGGAAGGGAGGTAGGGACAAAGGGGAATAAAACCCACACAAAGGTAATTGGGGAGAGACTGGTGCCAGTGGGATTGCCTGAAAATGCATGGTACATATTTGCACTTGGTTGAGCGTAAATGTTAACAGGAGTGGAGGAGGCCGTGAAGAGAAAACCTTAAAAACACAAGGCAAGAGATCATAGAATCATAGAATGGTTTGAGTTGGAAGGAACCTTAAAGATCATCTAGTTCCAACCCCTGCTGCCATGGGCAGGGAGATGTTCCACTAGACCAGGTTGCCCAAAGCCTCATCCAGCCTGGCCTTGAACACATCCAGGGATGGGGCATCCACAGCTTCTCTGGGCAACCTGTTCCAGTGCCTCACCACCCTCAAAGTGAATAATTTCTTCCTTAGCTCTAATTGAAATCTATTCTCTTTCAGTTTAAAGCCATTACCTCTTGTCCTATCACTACATGTCCTTGTAAAAAGTCCCTTTCCAGCTTTCTTGTAGGCCCTCTTTAGGTACTGGAAGGCTGCTAGAAGATCTCCCCAGAGCCTTCTCTTCTCCAGGCTGCACAGCCCCATCTCTCTCAGCTTGTCTTCACAGAAGAGCTGCTCCAGCCCTCGGATCATCTTTGTGGCCCTCCTCTGGACTTGTTCAAATAGGTCCATGTCCTTCTTGTGTTGGGGACCCCAGAGCTGAATGCAGTATTCCAGGTGGGGTCTCATGAGAGCAGAATAGAGGGGCAGAATCACCTCCCTTGACCTGCTGGCCATGCTTCTTTGGATGCAGCCCAGGATATGGTTGGCTTTCTGGGCTGCAAGTGCACTTTGCCAGCTCATGTTAAGCTTCTCGTCAACCAGCACTCCCAAGTCCTTTTCCTCAGGACTGCTCTCAATCCATTCTCCACCCAGCCTGTACTTGTGCTTGGAATTGCCCCAACTCGTGTGCAGGACCTTGCACTTGGTCTTGTTGAACTTCATTAGGTTCACATGGGCCCACCTCTCCAGCCTGTCAAGGTCCCTCTGGATGGCATCCCTTCCCTCCAGCGTGTCCACCACACCACACAGCTTGGTGTCGTCAGCAAACTTGCTGAGGGTGCACTCGATCCCACTGTCCATGTTGCCAACAAAGATGTTAAACAGCACCGGCCCCAATACCGACCTCTGAGGAACACCGCTCGTCCCTGGTCTCCACTTGGACATCAAGCTGTTGACCACAACTCTTTGAATGCGACCATCCAGCCAATCCCTTATCCACCAAGTGGTCTATATGTCAAATCCATGTCTCTCCAATTTAGAGACAAGGATGTCATGTGGGACAGTGTCAAATACTTTGCACAAGTCCAGGTAGATGACGTCAGTTTCTCTTCTCTTAATCACTAACACTGTAACCCTGTTATAGAAGGCCACCAAATTTGTCAGGCAGGATTTGCCCCTAGTGAAGTTGTGTTGGCTGTCACCAATCACCTCCTTATTTTCCATGTGCCTTAGCGTAGTTTCCAGGAGGATCTGCTCCATGATCTTGACACACACTGACTGGCCTGTAGCTCCGTGGGTCTTGCCTTTTTCCCTTTTTAAAAATGGGGGTTATATTTCCCCTTTTCCAGTCACTGAGAACTTCACTGGACTGCCATGACTTCTCAAATGTGATAGATAGTGGCTTAGCAACTTCATCTGCCAGTTCCCTCAGGACCTGTGGATGCATGTCATCAGATCCCATGGACTGTGCACCTTCAGGTTCATCAGATGGTCTCAAACCTGATCTTCTCCTACAGTGAGTGGTTCTTCATTCTCCCAGTCCCTGCCTTTACCTTCTGCAGCTTGGGCAGTGTGGCCTATAGAAGCTTTTCTTGTTGCCCTTGATGTCCCCGATCAAAGCAAAACTTAGGATGAGAAAAGAGGTGGATGTAGCTAATAATGAGCTATTTACTGCAATTTAAAGGAAAGCTGAGAAGATAAATCATGCCTGCACTTGGAGTGCAAATCCCACCCAAGCCAGAGGCACCCGGAGGGCAGTACACTCGTCAGAGCTGATCTATGAATACTCGCCTTGGATGCAGCAGGTTATTTATTATGGATGTTTTGAACCGATGTGTCATAATACATCATCTCAGATGCTAAACACGAGTCTTACTCCTTTAGTCTTGCAAAAGTGTCCTCCTTACTCTGCTATGAAGTATGAAGTTTCTGCCTAGAACAAAATTCAGTGAGGTTTTAAATTTCCCTTAAGGTTTAACTTAAGTTTAATTTTCCCTTATGCCTGTATCACAGAAGTACTGAGAAGCCAAAAGAGATTGGGGCCTCCAGGGAGTAAAAAGTTACCCTTACTCTAAAGCAGGTGATGTATATGATAGCCTAAACCTCCCCATCTCTGGGATATGGCTGCATTTTTGGTTTTCCACTCTAGATCTGGTGCCCACTTTCCCATTAATATGTTCTAGAAATAACTACAGTTTTTTTCTATTTTTCATATGAAGCAGAATGGAGCAGGCAGCAACCTAACTTTCTGCACAGCAGGATGACCAGAATGACATCTTTAGCAAAAACTTGTTGAACCCAAGATCTTTTTAAGTAGCTTTCTGTGAAGAGCTTTCACAGCTGCTCTTCACCAACCAGCTCTACTTAAAAGCTAAATGGACAATAGCTAAGGACAGAAAACAAAGCTTGGACCACATACGTAAGGGCTAAAGAGCTTCAAATGGTGTGTTGGCATCTCATAAGTGACTTGTGAGAAGATAGGAGATGTTGTGGAGACATCGCAATTGTATGAAGCAGTTGTATAAGTCCCTGTGTGGTTCTTAGCCCAGGAGGAGCTGGGATGAGGAGTGTCTGGTGACAATCTAGTTCCCTTTAAAAATCAACCTGTGAGATTGGCCCAGAACTGGAAAATCAGGAAAGAACCATAATGTTAAAAAATATGATTCAGGACAGGGAACCTTAGAGTATTAACTTTAAATTTCCGCGTGTCCTTTGTGAGACTATATTCAGGGGGTTGTGTCCAGGTATGGTGAGAGTGGAGATGGGGCCAGAGGACTCTGGTGGGAAGACCTTGAGCGCTAGACCTTGTACAATGCTATCTGCAATTCTGATAAAGAACTGTAACAAATCTAAGTCCTGATAAAAAGCCATACAGCACTTGGAACATGCAGTGCCCCTTCTGTTGTATTATGTTATGAAATCTCAGTGTTTGCCAAGGTGGATGCAACTGCTAGTAAGTACTCCTGAGCCTCTGTTTTTAAAAAACATGATTCTAGCTCCTAAAATCGCAGATTGACTTAGAATAAGTGTTTGAGGAAACAAACATATGTACACCTTTGTCTTTCTGCTTGTTTCATTTGAGGTGGTATTACCCAAGCTTTGCTTGACAAGTATACAGCTTAAAACCTTTTTTTAAAAAAAGTTAAAAACAAAACAAAGCAAAAAAAAAAAAAAACACCAAAATACCTCCCCAAAACTGATGTCTGTCCACAGTGGCAGGCAAAGGCAGGCTCCGACTGCAGCGCAGGCGGTGTGTTCCCTGGAGTGCTGCTAGGGACCCAGGGATGGGAACACAGCGATGCTGGGGGAGGACCAGGAGGGGAAATAGCTCATCTGATGTGCCAGTGAGTCAGCTGGCTTGGGACCGATTGCCACAGATACCCACAGTTAGGAAAGACCCGGCTCCAGCAGTTGCCTTCCCTGGAGAGGTGGCCTATGACTACGAAACAAGCCTAGGAAAAGGCTATAAAAATAATGTGCGTATAAAAGCTATTTATATTCTTAAAACAGAGGATTGTTACGTGGAATATAATAGAAAATGAGAGGGAGTATATTGTGCCCACATAGCTGCCACTGCAATGCATTTTTTTTAAGGATTGTGAATACAGAGCCAATTGCAAAGGAAATATAAATCCTCCAAAGGAGGAGAAGGGTGAGAAAGAGAAGACAAGAGAGCAAGAGGAGAAGGGGATTTTTTTTGTAAAACACTGGCATCAGGAACATACTTCCCCTTTCCTGACCTGCCCGGGTGGGATGGCAAGTGATTTTGCAGCACTGATGCAGCAGGCTGATGGTATATCAGTCCTTTTTACCTCATGCTGGCCAGATTTTTGTAGGACTCATGAAAAGGATTAAAAAAGCAATATAATAAGTGTGTGAAGGTAATGAAGGATTCATTTACTTGATTTGATTGGGTTTTTTTCCCCTTGGGCTATCAAGCTTGGGGAAGCAGAGGTGAAAGGAGAGTGTGTTGAACAATTTAGAGGTGATATCGTTTTGGACTCTTTAAAAATCAGACTTTAAAGACCCCAAATAAATTGCTGCATGGCTCAGCTGTAACGTGACATTTAGTATGTGTCATAAGCCTGGCTTCAAAATAGAGGCTGTCAGCTAGCAAAGCACAGGGGGCTTGACAGAGATAATGGATGGAATGAGACTTCCAGCTGAAGGAATGAAATGGTGAAGTCTGTAATCAAAACGTGAGGAGCATTTTAGGGATGATTGTAAAACAGTTGGCAGAAGGCAAGCAATGAGAGTTTGAAGGCTTGAGAAATGAGAAAGCCCAGAATTGGACTTGTGCTGATGCAATGCTGAGAAAGGGCGCAGCCAAGCCTGTGCTCCTCTAGACCTGGAGGAAACTAGTGTTGTGCCTGGGGGAGAGTGGGGATATCCTCCCTTAGACAGTGCGCTGTAGACATGGAGCAAGAGACAGTCAATATCCTGGAGAACTGACCATCAAACCCTGTGGGGATATAAAGTCAAAAGTTAGAGAATAGACTCCTTAATGAAGTACTACAAGTTTGGTTTACTTACCCTTCCCTCCTATGAGTAGCTTCTGTGGATGGGGAAAACACAGAAGAGTGGAGGAATAAATCAGAGAAGAGCTAGGGGAGTTTCTTGGGAGAGCATCAACCTCAAAAATTACTGTAGTGTCAGAGAAGGCCAAGTCAAAGTCGCACCATATGAGGGAATGGAGCAGGTTCTTGCGGTAACCTGCTCAAGGCACCACATCTTTGTCTATGCAGAGAGTGGTAAGTAGGTAGCTGCAGAGGACTTGTTGCCTTACCACAGATTTCTGCAGTAGGCAGGATAATCATTCCCCATGGTGAGCTGAATTATCTAGCCAGCTGGCCAGGCAGGGCAGGGAACGTCACTCACAGGCAGAGGAATGTGTGCTTACCTCCACTAAGCAACCTAAGTGTACATCTGAGTTCTTGCTCCCCACACCAGTGAATCAGGCTGCTTCTCGTTTCAGAGATACTGTGGCTCCTTCAACTCACCCACCAGCATCACCTCTGCCTGGACTGGGTTTAGCTGGTTGACTCCTTCTTACTGTATTTTCTTTCTTTGTCAGTTATCAGCTGGTGGAGTGCAGGTACCGTTGCTTTTGGCCCCTGTGGGTGGAGATAAGCAAAGGATTTAATCTCAAAGGACTCATTTGGGACGTTCAGAACTCAAAGCATAAAGTACCAAGTCACAGCTCTAGAGGTCACCACAACTCATTGTGAACCAAGAGGAGAGACTAATACACTGTCAGTAGGGGGCTAGTGTGGAACTATGGCAATGTGTGGTTTTTTCTGAACATAAGGTGAAAGTGTTTGTGTCCAACACCTTCTCATTTCCAACTGAAAAATGATCCGTCTTCTTCCCTTTCCACTTGTTCAATGTCCTACCGATGGGAAAAAAAAATCAAATTAGCATCTCTGTTACAGATAACTTCTGAGTTTTAGGGCAGAAACTGTCAGTAAGGTTTATTTTATAATTACCCATATGTAGGAACTGTATCTTTTAATTGCTAGACCTGTCTTGTGGATTTAAAACTGTTACGTTTCTAATTGATGCAGGAGTCATAATTAAGAGAAAAAGCGGAGAAATTCCATGCCCCTTGGCAGTTGAGGCATTTGCTGCTCACCTCAGCTATATCTGCAAATATGACGACAAATACAGCAAGTAAGTAAGAACGTGTGCACGCACGTGTGTGTGTGTGTATTTCTTTCACTCCTTCTCTGTTGGCAGCAACGTTTGAGTTCTCCATGTTAGGCTGCAGCTGAGGGCCTGATCCCGCTTTCATGGAATTAATCTCTGACAAAGCGCCTCTTTCAGTCAAAGATGAGAAGCTGGCTCTGGACAAGGGTGAGCTGCATTGCTAATGGTGTTTTGACTCTATCTACCCATCCACCAGTCAAAAAAAAATTGAGACTTATGTTCTTAGCATCTCATGAATGACTTTTAAGAAGTGTTGGGAAGGTGAGCCAGCAGGCTGCTGTTCTTGGCCACATCTAATTGAAGGCTAAACAGAGAATTCAGCAAGGGTCCACAAGCCTCACAAGTGTCTCAGGCTAGCTCAGCTCTCCACCCCTATCAGCAGATGGTGTTTAGATGATTATCTGTCCTGGTGATATTGGTGTCACCTGGAGCCAGAAGAAAAGATGTTCAGTTGTGAATGTAAAGGTAATCTAGATGATCTGTGAGAGCAGAATGTAGATCTTTTGGCTCCTGGATTCTAGTTGGAGTCCTCAGTGTTAGCTCTTAATGTAGCAGGGAAAAACAGCAAGGAGTAAGAATAGCAGTGGTGAAGCTTGGCTGTGGGAATAGCGATGAGGTGCAGAAGATTTCAAGAACCAAAAACTGAGAAGAGAGAAAAAGCAGCAGGGATTTTCCAAGCCAGTTCTGGGCAAGGCAGCAAGAATTCAGTAGAAAAGATGAAAGAGGAGGGGGTGCTTGCTGGAGACCGATGTTGGGATCTGATCTGAGGGAATCAATATGAAAAAGAGATGAGGTAGTAGATTTAAATGGTTACTGAAAAAATAAAAGTAGGAAAGTGAGAAATCTTATGACTGAAGAGCAAATATTCTGGCAGTCCTAGAATTAGTCAGAACCTAAATATAAGGATGTCATTCCTTTCTAGTTCTGCCTTATGGAGAAGTGCTCCACATGCCAACACTGCACACTCTGGCTCTACCCCCACATCCTCCCACTTACTGTTGACAGCAGCAGAAATCATTCTTTGCTCACAATAGAGATAAACAAGAGGAGAAGCATCAGCAATCTTCCCTAAACTGTAACATAATGTGCCTGAGGCTTTTTTGTAGCTACAAGTTGAAGGGATTCAGACCCACAGCTCCTATCACGTGGATGTTAGTCACGAGTAGCTCAAGGAGTCTGTAGCAGTACTCTCACTTACGTGAAGTGGTAGAGAGGTGAGAGCATTGCTGAGCTTTTGCTTCTGAGAACAAGGCAGTCCATTCTTTTAGGCACTGTTAGGAATTTCCAAAATTGTGCAACTTAGCTGTAAATGGCTGTCAAATACGTTGTACAAAATTTCTTAAGATGATACTTGCACTAGGTATTAAGTCCTGGGCCTGCAGAATCTTTATCTGGGGTTATTTCTTGTATCCTAGCTGCAAGTGTTTGGCTGAACAGTGCTTTTCCCTCCCCTTCTCTCTTGGCTTTTTAGGTATTTCATTTCTCACAAACCAAACAAGACCTGGCAACAAGTGTTCTGGTTTGCCATCAGCATCGCTATAAACAATGCCTACATCCTCTACAAAATGTCGGAGGCCTACCATGTGACAAGGTATAGCCGTGCACAGTTTGGTGAAAGACTTGTGAAGGAGCTTCTGGGCTTGGAGGACACCTCACCCTCCCATTGATGCATTGCTCTTGGTGGCATAGGCAGGAGGTGGAGGATAAGCAGAAGATACTACACCTGGAACGGCAAAACAAGGAACTTGTGACACCACCAGTGCTGTCCTTATCCAAAAATGCCAAGTGATGCCACTAGGGAGGTGGAAACTTCGTTCCTAGAAGCAGCTGGATGTAAACATGTCCTGCAGAAAGTGCCACTGGAAAAGCTGACACAGAATTGCATATGTGAATGCCCTGTGGGAACCCGTACACCAGAAACAGACTTAAATTAGTCGTCATCTCAATACTGTTTGTCGAACAGGGTCATCTTGTAAAGTTCCTCTTGGGTTAAGAGCTTGTCATAAGCTGGCATAGCTCAGCAGTCCTAGGCGAGCGTTGCAGAAAACTCTATACCTTGCTTGGAGTCACCCAGTTCTGGGACAGGCACTGTGAGCCTGCGCCATGGGCTGTGGGTGGGAGTGCCTGCCATCCTGGAAGGCAGCGCCGCCCTCTTCCCAGTGCGCTCAACAAAGCCGTTCAGTTCAGGTACAGGAACACTGAAGCAAGCATATTGACAGACAAAACCTTCACAGACAGGCAGCCAGGAACTGAGAACCGGTTAAGACCTTTTCTTTCTTTTTTTTTCTTTTCTTTGTTTTTATTAATGTAATGTAGGGCAATTTGATTGCAGTTAGAAGACAGCAAAATTAGGCGAAACCAAATACATTAGTGAATTTAAAATGAAAACACATTACATTACATTGAATTTCTTTTCTAACCAGGATGAAACATTTTATACACAAACAAACAGTGAGTAATGCTGTAAGTATTAACAGTGTGTAAACCAGTAAGTAATACTGCCTCACATCTTAACTGCCACGGTCAGTGTACAGGTGAGAAATAAGAGTATAACAATTATATTTTTTTCTTGATTTCAACTGTATCTTAAATGTTGCTTAAAAATCTAATGTAATGGACTGTTAAGTTTTTAGGAACAATTTATTTCTTTTCCTTTTGTAGCTGTCAAGAATTTTTGGTCCGTTTTAGAACATCATTTGGCACACAGTTGGCAAGAAAAAAATAAGTCACTAATAGCAGTGTGTTTCCCATTATCACTGCGGGATGTTCTGTAGGAGTTCTTCTTGTTAGAATTCTGGGCTTGTCACAGTAGTTGTAATTAAGCAGATTACATGTTTAGCAAAATAACATAGCATTGTGTTTTACAAAAAGAAAGAAGTCCAGTTGCAACCAGACCTTAAACCTCACTAAACCAGAGCAAGCCCAAATTGTTCTGCTGTTCTGAATAACACTGTACAGGACAAGCATCGTCACGAGCTGATGCCTATGGCTGAAACACCATGTTTTGGTGCTGGTGGAATCTGAAGGCTGCTGAAGCTTTGGAAAACAATGCTGAGAGAGAGAGAGATGACTGAAACAGGGGAGGATTGATGCTGTGGTGAAATACTACCCTGCAGTCTACACATTATTGATTTCAGTCCGCAACTCAATCAGCAAAAACCTCTGTATTTTAAAGGTTAGTGATGGACACAAACAGAATTGCATTAACTTACAGGGCAGAAACCATGTTGCTTAGAGGACTGGCTGGTTTTAGGTCTCCAAGCCTGAAAAGTTTTACCAAAGAATGGCTTGGGTTGATTCAAGAGGAATGGAGTGAGTGACTGATTGATTGATTTATTGATTTATCAGTATAAGCCTCACCAGGTTATATGTAGCTACCTGGCAAGAGAGAATATAGGATAACCAACATGAATATGAGAACTCTCCAGATTTCATCATTATGTGATATGCAAATGCATTGCATGTAAAATATAATAGAGGAAGAATTCAGCAAGGGTAAGTAAATTACTGACTAGCCCAAAGAGCATCCTTGCACTGACATCTTTCAATTTCCACCAAAGTCTTATTTTTTTAGAGTAGACTAAGAAGCAGATCTCACCTGGTTGCAGGGAGAGTAAGGAGACGTTCATCTCCATGGTGGTTCTGCTTGTGATAAAGCCTGGAGCCTCTTCCACACGTACAGCAGTGGGTTTCCTAAGCATCCCTTTTCACTTTTCAGTCCACAAGGTCTCCACACAGGAAACGTGAGAGAAGGGACAAAACCTTGTGTACTGAGGCCTCCTAGCCTCAAAAGGAAGGAAGGGGTTTATACCACTCTAGTCCTGGGCAATGCCAAGCTCAATAGGAGCCCAAGGATGAGTTCAAAACTTCTTGGCCCTGTAGAGAATTGAGACCACTCCTTTTCAGACTGAGTGTGTGTGGTAGCTGGTTCTTGTCAGTCTTGTGAGTATTTAAAGGGTGAGAAGAGCTAGTGTAAGGCATGAAAAACAAATGTTCAGCAATATAAGCCCACAGTTTGCCTTTTTTTTTTTAAGGAATTCCACAGAGCTACTTAAAGGCAAATGGTGTTCTTATTACTCTCTGCTTCAGACAATGCCAGCCTATATTGAAACAGGAAAGGTAGCTACAGGTTCCTTATGTTCTGTTCATCTATACAGTAGTTGAAATTGGGGCAGTAAGGAAAGGTCTGGCTGGAACTTTGCTTTTGGGGCAGCGTGAATGAACAGGAGCTGCTGGGAGCCCATCTTCCTTGCATTCCCCTGCAATGTCAGAGCACTTGCAAGGTGCAACATGGCCCTAGCAGAGATGGGAAGGTTTGCAGGACCTCCTTGGAGCCACTTGGCACTTCTCAGGAGTAAGCACAGCACTCTTCAGTGAGGTTGAAGCCCCCTGAGATAGAACTGGAGCCCTTGGCCAATTGTTACATTACTATGTATGCTTAAAACCTTGGATCTAGGCCATCCTGTGCAGAAAATGCCTTTTATTTTTCAGGTAACAGGTCCAAGGCCTTGGAATGTTTAATTTTCCACTGATGTGTGCTGTTAATTATGTGGATTACTTGAGCTAAAATCATGAGGTCCTAGCTTTTCACCTCAGGGACTGGGTCCTGAGTAGTTTTCCCTAGAATTGGTGTTGATGGGGGATTACACAGTGGCTGACTATTACAGGGAAGATGCTTTAGTCTCCTTTGTAAAGGAGAAAAATGAAAACAAAATTATAGCTTTGCAATGAATTTCATTTTCTTAGCCTTAACCATCTCTCATCATTTTGAACTGGTGCCCTAAACATGCACAAACATTCCATAAGTAAGCAAAAATATTTATATATATTTATATGTACAAAATGCCTGAATTTTGGCTCTCAAAGCCAACAAGCAGAAGCCACCAAAGCATAGTCTATATCTACAGATGACTATTCCACCTCATCTTCTCCATTTATTGACTGGGGGTGGATAGAGTTGGGGAAAGTTAAGCTTTCTCCTTGTTCAAAAAGCATCTTGCACTTTCTCTATGTTACTACAAACAAGGCAAAGTAAGGAAGAAATTGAATCATTTTTAAAAGGCAAAAGTTTGTTAACTACAGCTTAGCTTCTGTAGCATTTCCTTTACTACAAACTGGCTTAGATTTTGTTCCCCACCTGCTTCTAACATTAAAGCTTCTCCTTAGTTAAAGGGGGAAAAAAAAAAAAAGGGGGGGGGGGGTGGTCTCAAAGTAGTGCAAGGATGCTTGTTATAGTGTGCACGTGTGTTAATTGTGCAATGACTTGTGAAATGATAGCAAGTTCGGGTTGTTTTGGGGTGGGTTTTTTGTAGCTTTGAGACAATCTGGGTAAGAGATCTTAAAGCTCAGCAGTAGCTAAAACGCAGTGGTGATGCCAACCAGGTCACAGAGGAACATCTCTTATTTTTTCCCACTGGAAAAAAATTAAGTTAGAAGCTGAAGTAGACA